ATTATTTAAATAAATTATTAAAATATAAAATATAAAAAACTGTACCGGCACCCTCTCAAATAAGATGAGTACCATAAAATTTCTCTTTTTTTTTTACACAAGAATTATTTTGTCGATTACTTTTTTTAATTTATAAAACATAATTTAGTCATTTATATTAATTTATAACTTTTTATCCTGATTTCTAATAAATTTATATTATTTTGTTACTTAAACTACTGTATACAACATTAAAAAACATAAATTTAATTACTATCTGTAACTACAGTTGAACCAATGAATAAATACTTTCACTAATTTAATCATCAATCCAATTCTTAAAACATTGATTTTGCTCAACCCTTTGTGCCATGACATCGTATCTGTGCAAGTTGTAACTGAACTAACTGCGCATTTGCTCAAACTGAACAACTGAAAAAGAAATTCTGATTTAACCAAAAGGAACATTTAGATTATACTCAAGTACATAACAGTTGGGAACAAACACTAATATGGGCAATAAATGTAGTACACAAACGGGGTTTCACAGAAGGTCAAAAAAATAATCCAAACCTTGGCCAATTTCCCAGATCGAAATGCCACATCCCCATGAACGGGCTTCCTCTAATCGCAAAGAAATCGACTTCAAAGATGGATAGAATACCGCATGCCTGATATCCTTGTCGTCAGAGTAAAGGAAAAAATGCTCCCCACTTTTCTCATCCCACTGCAGTTCAGGCCTGTGCTTCTCCAAAAGTGCCAGGTAATCTCTCCCAATAACAGCCCCGCCACCTGCATCTGCACTCTCAACATTTAACTACTATGCAAAACAATTAAGTTTTTAACTCAAAAGCCAAAAAAGAAAAGCAATAGTCCTCTAAGATGATGCCAAAGTATCAAAATTGCTCATAAGGGTGCTCATGGTCCACTCAAAATGTGTGTACAACCATTAGTTTAGTTCAAAGGAAGAAATACAAGGGATTTTTGCCCTGGTAATCCAACCTCCTTCGTTCCCCTCCAACCAAACAAGTAAAGTTAGCAAAGGAACAGGAATTACCCCTTGAAAGGGAGAAATCATTTCCATAGAAGTTGATGCCGAGAAGTATCTTGGGGGCAAGGCTTTGGGCTCTATTGCCAGAGGTACCAAGAAGCAGCTGGAGAACAATTTGAATCCATTTCAGAGGTGCATTAGGACCAGGATTATGAGGATTAGAGAAGTCATATGTCATTAACGAGAATCCATCCACTGCTTCACTTAAAGTCTCGAGATCTTTTGGACCAAAGTCATGCTCTAGCAGCTTCTCAGAAGATGGTGGACCTATAACATAGATCAACTGTAGCTGCTTCCCACTAATTTTCTCTGAGCTTATAGAATGCAGTGCATCTCCAAGCTGTTTTACAAACTGCAATGCCTGCATTTGGAAAAGAAGAAAACACCATATCTATTACTAGAGCATGCCTAAATACAAAATGAATAAGCTGTCTAACAGAAACATGATGAATGAATTTTCAATTTTTTCCCATGGCAATGAATATATGCTACTAGAGTTATCAATAACAAAACTGTCTTACAGGTAAGGTGAAATAATCATAATGGCATGCTTCAAATTGCAGAGAACTTAATTATGTGGTCTATGTTCCATGTGGAAAAGGAACAACCTCAGTCATTAAGCAATGGCAATGGTAATGTAATATAACCACATAATGACTGACCTTGCAACTTTAAACATTCAACAGATTGGAAGAAATTTTAATAGCTCGGTACATGAATCACTGGCAGACTTCCGTATTATAACTTTGCTGTATAAAAAGTATTGACAAGATTAATGGAACAAATGCTCACCAAATTCCGCATGTTTGGATCATGCAAGATCCCATAAGCTGCCCACCTTGACCAAGATTCTAAAACAATACCATCATATCCCATGGCCCTACAGCAGAAGAACATTCACATGAGAGCATTTCATAGCACAACAGACTGAGAAAGGAAGTGCTTCATATATGCTTCTGATTTATCTGAATACATGCTTCCATGAACAATTTCTGATACCCCATGCAGTATATGGGTAATGAGTTTGCTATAGAGGAAGAACCTCTTTACATAAGGCCTTTGGCGGTGTAAAGAAAGCAATAATACACCATAAACCATGTTCAGGTAAAATAAATAATGGGAAAATTACAAGAAAAAAGGAATAATTGGCAATGATATCCCTGATTTAAAAACAAACCACTCCAATGGTTAGTTAAGTCGATTAGAGTTCACTTAACATCCACATGTTAAATGTTACAGATATTGTGAATATATTATAGATATTGTGGATACATATATTATGGTTATTATCCTCACTATAAATTAGGGATATGATTATATTAGTTTCCATAATATTAGAGATTAGTATCTCTATCATTTATTATATTCACTCTATAAATAAGATTGGTATGTGTACAACAATACACACAATTTCTGAATCACAATATGGTATCTAGAGCTTAGGTTCTTTTCTTTTAGAATATATTTTTCTCTCTTCTTGCAAAGGCCCTCGTTGCAACCTCCGGCCGCCGCCGCCGGCGGCGGCTGCCTCCGGTCGTCGCACCGCCGACCGCCGCCTCTGGTTGCTACCTCCGCCGCTTTCGGTCGCCAACTCCAACCGCCTCTTCCAGTCTGCCGCGTTTGGTCGCTGCCTCCGACCGCCGCATCCAGTTGCCAACTCCGGTCGCCGCCTCCGGTCGTTGACTCCGAGTACCGCTTCCAGTTGCCGACTCCGGTCACTAATTCCGACCGTCGCTTCCGATCGCCGACTCTGGTCGCTGACTCCGACCACCGCTTTCGATAGCCGCCTCCGGTCGTCGCCTCTGACCGCCGCTTCCGGTCACCGACTCTGACCGTCGCTTTTGATAGCCACCTCCGGTCGCCGACTCTGACCGTCACTTTTGATATCTGCCTCCGGTCGCCGCCTCCGATCGCCGCTTCCGGTCGCCCACTCTGACTACCGCTTTCGATAGCCACCTCCGGTCTGCGCCTCCGACCGCCGCTTCCAGTCGTCGACTCCGACCGCCGCTTCCAGTCGCCGACTCCGACCGTCTCTTCAGGTGGCCACCGCCTCCGATCGCCGCCTCCGACTGCCGCTTCCGGTCGTTGCCTCTGATCGCCGCCTCCGACCGCTGCCTCCGGCTGCCTTCGGTGACCAGTTAGCAGATGTGTTCACAAAATCGCTTAAAGGACCTCGGATTGATTACATTTGTAACAAGCTTGGTGCAATGATATATATGCTCCAGCTTGAGGGGGAGTGTTACAGATATTGTGAATATATTACAGATATTGTGGATACATATATTATGGTTATTATCCTCACTATAAATTAGGGATATGATTAGATTAGTTTCCATAATATTAGAGATTAGTATCTCTATCATTTATTATATTCACTTTATAAATAAGATTGGTATGTGTACAACAATACACACAATTCCTGAATTACAACATTAAACATCATTAACCAATTGATTGGTCAGTTGACTTCTAACTGAACTACAAATATATTATCAAGAATTCCGTCTGCACACGGCACCAAGAGACAAAACCGCTGATGATAATAAAAAACTAAGTAGCTAAATAAGAGACCATGAGAAGCTTATAAGCAAAAGCAAGACATTTTCTAGCATTCAATAAATAACTGTTCTCATAACGCCATAAGCCTAAAAGAGACATCTAGAAAAATAATCAGAAGCTTACTCGCACTCTGTTACAATAAGATTAATGGCTTTGTCCCTTAGTTTTTCCTTCCTCAGCAGCACTGCTGGTGATGCTTCCAGAACAACTCTAGGCAAAATCTACATCCAATGAAAAGATAAAAAATGGATGGTTTAGTGAGGTCTGTTACAAAGAAAAGGATAACAAGAATCCTAAGACAATTAAACAAGTGTTAGGTTCAACAAGTTAATGATATCATGAAAGAGGGTTAGCCACATAAGTAACCAGTCCAAGGCCAAGATCAGTCCTATTAGCAAGCCTATACATAATTCTCTAATTTAACTCCACTTTCTAGTTTACATATCCAGTATTACATGTCATCAAGTAAATAGCTTTCAAAATGAAAATAAGATACGTGCAAGTGCAATAACTTTTTGGATAAAAAAGGCATTTAATTTATCAGTAATGAGCTGAAAATAAGTTTGAAGGTAGAGGACTCATTCATTGTACCAAAGCTTCTCCTGTCTTTTTAAGATCTGACATCCATCCTCGGTCAGCATTATGTCTCCCCTCTAGAACTAAGCTAGTCTGTTGGCTGGCAATAACAACTGATGAAGCAAAACCATAAAGCAATATAATAAAAACACACTAAATAACAAACCCCAGGACTTATAATCAACTATTCACTAGAATTTCATCCTAGTGCATAAATTAGAAACATATGTGAGTATATAAAAAATTCTGTTGACCCTCAAGAAGGCTGTTGATAACAGTTAAAATCAACCCTGGTGTTTTATTTCCAAAAGTAAGGCATCTAAAGTCATCATAATTGTAGTAAATAAAAAGGAAGGATACATAATATATAGAACTAAGAAACCCGAATGTAAAGCTACTAGAAACTTTTGAATGCTTGTAAAATACATTTTAAAGTTCTGATGAGCTGGCACAAAGAGAGTTTGAAATGAAACAGATCTTAACTCTGCTCCCACCCCACACCTCAACATTTTCAATAAGGATTTGTATGGATAAATTTCTGCAGAAACACTACTAAGAGAAAAATAGGAAAGAAAAATGAAATAAGCTTCTCTATAAGCTAAGATTAGCTTAAGCTAATTTGTCAAAACTCCTTTTTAGTAGTTTTTTCAAAATCTTATTTTTAACTTAAGCATAAGTTAGTTTTAGTTTCTGGAGAAATTAATTTCAATTTTTCTTCCTATTTTTTTCCCCTACAAGTGTTTATAGAAAAGTTTATTCAAACACACCATAAGACATTTAGGTCAGAGGTACATACCTCTTTAGATCATACCAGACGGGTGATAAATGTGTAAACTTTGAGTTGAACCTTTTTGCCAATTCATAACCTCGAGAATTCCTGTCACAAATAAAAAAAATTGAACATGCAAAAAGGTTCAAAATAAATATACAAAAAATAAATAAATAAAATACCAGGGAGTAATGTAGCCAAGCACAGGATAGGTATAATGGCGCTGAGAGGTATTTTCTGATACCTTAGAATTTTCCTAATCCATTGCAAATTTTCAACATTAGATACTAAAATCAAAACTAGAAAAGGAAAAAAAAACTGTTGTGATTTGGGCGATACTCACGGTGAGTACATGGTGGTAATTAGCATGGGTTGTAACAAGGCCTTGCTCATACACATTCGAATCTTTATATTCCGACTGAGAGGATCGCCTGAAGCGGTAAGTGACGATGATAGCAATGATTGAAGACACGATGAACAAAACAACGAGTTTGCTGCGACCGGAAGCTGAGTCCACTCGTGCAGAAGATGGTTCGACTCGGTTTTCCCGACGACCGCCACTCGGGCCTGATCGCTTCTTCGCCATCTCGCCCGACTAGGTTTACTAACACCGGAAAGTAGGAAACGACACCGTTGTGCTTCGTATCCTATATCTGTGTAAGGCAAACGGTCACATGCACACACAAAAAATATAAACTGACTATAGTTCTTAGGAAATAAAAATAAAAATATTTTAATTTTTAAATAAATGAAAAAAATTATATGTTTAACTAAGTATGTATTTTTCTATCATAAATGCAAGTATGTATATGATACTTTGGATATATGAGAGAAAAATATAGATAAAAAATTGTTTATACAGGATATTATGTCTTTCAATATAGACTTCATCTTTTCACACACTTAAAAGTCCAACCCATATTGTTTACTCAACATTTATTATGAAAAAAAAAATAGTGTACATTTTGCTAATTGACACAAAAATTGAGAAAGGTGTGAAAAATAAAGAAATATCAATAAGATTGGTGATATAATGTGATAAAAAAAAATATAAAAAATAAAATGTTTCAAATAGGTATCTATATTTTTTAAAAAAAATCTATATATCATTGCTCCTTTGTTATTCTTGTTATTTCTACGTTATTTAAGGCTAATTTAACTAGTATAATAGTAGAAAAAGATTATGAGGCATGTCTTTGTAGCAAGTGAATTTTTGTGTATCATAAAGGGTTTAAGTAAAGATAAGATAACCTCTAACATGACTTTGACCATGTAGCATGCTTTATTATTTTTTATTTTATTTTTTATTTTTTTACTTTTTTTCATGCAATGTATCATGCCGTGTAAGAAATTATATGGATGCAATTTCATTTTTGCATATCCATTTTCTTTGGATCAAGTAAGAAGAATAGAAATTAACTAGATAATTAAAAAGGTAATTTATCTCAAGTCATATATTTTCTTTCCTTTCATATTAACAAAATATTAACATTATTTTAAAAAAAATAAAAGATAAAGTTATTAAATATTATTATAGATATTAAATATTTCAATAACATTGACAATCTTGAACCTAACAATCATTTGTCACAAATCTAATAGGATTAAAAAAAATGAGAAAAAAATAATAAAATGTAAGACTAGATCAAAATCATAAATTCTAAACTCTAAACAAACAACACCAAATACAAAAAAAAAAAAAAAAAAAAAAAAAAATCCTTTCATATAATAACACTCACCTTATAATAATACAATATTTATCACTAAAAATAATTATTTTTATTTATACTATAAATATAATATATATTGATATATT